ATGGGCGAGTACCTATTAAAGCCACGACTATTTCAAATGGAAGCAAAATGCGTGGCGCACCCCTGGAAATGAACCGGTCGTACTGAAAACTCATTATTTTGCTGATATCTTCTATGTATCCTCTAGATTACCCCTCGCGTCAACCTCTAGCATCGTTGTAGCGATTTTGAACTTGTATGTAGAACTTGTGGATTTCGGTCCCTTTAGGATGGCGTGAAGGTTGACTCTACCCGCACCTACTCGCTCCCTGGAACGCAGGCAGCAGAGATGTTGCTAAACTTCTTGGCTCCTAAGCTGCTACATAGAAACGAAACTGATCATGAGGATAAGATGAACTTAAAGGATCAGCCCATGACAGAAGGCAAAGAAAATCTTGTTTCAGGCTACAGCGAGGCAACATGACAGTCTACCCATAGGCGCCTCAGTGCAAAAGCATACACCATTGTTCATGCTCTTCTTAGGATGCGCCACGCACTCGAAGTTCGTTCATAATCGTGCTGGCAGTTGAACGCCTATTTGTTTCGAGCAGTTTTTTTATGGAGTCCTATTAATTCACTAGTCAACTATTATTCATGCAATCAAAAACATGTCGGAACCACAATCTGGTATTTTCAATTTTCGCAGCAGTTTAAGAAGTTTAAGAAGGTAAGAACCCTGTTGAGACTGTTGCTTTAAATGATAGCGGACTTGCTAAAATCTGTACGGGGTCCGATCCATCGTTCAGGGGGTACAGTAGCAATGAACTTTTTGTCTCAAATCAAAAACTATTAGTAACCTGCAAAGTGACATTTGTCCTCTCCGGAAATCAGTTCACTCATGGTTGTTTCCGATGGACATTTTAGCACTCGAAGGAACATTTCGGCATCACTGTCTGAAACGTTAGGAATACTCGCTGTATAATGGAGATCTTCTCAAGAGGTGCGAGGCACGACAATTTGACTCTTTGCATATGGTAGGTACGTGGTAGATATGCCAGGCTGACACGGGAGCCGGAGCCTGAGCAAGCCAAGCTGGAACGTTTTCGGCGATGGGAGGGGTGGGTTCCAGAGCGACCTATTGTATTCCCGCTAGGGCCAACCGTGCAAGGCGGAAGCATATTTGTGGTTTTCGGGAGGAGGATCCTATTTGTGGAAGTTGGGGTCGTAGCTGTGGGAGAAGGGATCGCTTTGGACGAGTTTTTGACGACTCCAGGGAA